TGTGTGGTGGTGGGGGGGGTGTTTTCTTACATGTGGGGGCTCGTCTGGGGATTTGCAACCACCCCTCACCTGAGTGGAGTTGATCTTGGAGGTAAGCGGGTACCCTGCATTGTCTGTGTCTTTGTGTTTTTGTGCCGGCTGAAATCTGGTTCTGTGCTTTGCAGTCGCTCGTGTCTCGGGAAGAGACAAGAGCTCTGGTCTTGGGAGGAGACAGAGTGTGATCAGTAGACGTGCTAGGGAGATCACCGACTGCCACCCTGGAAGACGTTCCAGGAAGTCTGTGGGAACCTCAGGGACACTTGGGAGATTCCCGTCTAGGAGCCGGTGAGGGTACGGTAGTTCTGCTGGATTGGGGAAGTTATCTGCCCTTCCGGCTGTCTGTATTTCTGGAGTGGTTTTGTCTGTCTAGGTGGAGACAGACATCTGATAGTTTTTGTCTGTGTGTCTTGGGTTTGTTTTTGTCTTATGTGTGACTTTGATGATGGGACTGACTGTAACCAACCCCCCTCAGTCACTTTTGACCACTGGACGGACGTTAAGGACCATAGTTAGTCAGTTAAAGTTACAGCACCCCCTTTCGTTGAGTCACGTGGCGCCACACTAGGTAACTTTATTTTCCAGTCTTTGTTTCTGTATGGTTTCTGTACAAGAATTGTTTAGGGCAGAGGTTCGGATGACAGCTTCTGCAGTCTATAGGAACGGGACCTGGTAGGACCAAGTTGCTTACTCCATCTGTAAGGGGACCCAAGCGGGTCGCCCAATCTGTAGGACAGGGACTTACTGGGAGCAAGCCATCTGAAATTCCGAATAGGACCCTAGTCTGTGTTACTGTTCTGTCTGTCCACGTTTCACATTTGTGTTGTGTGTTTGTTAAGCATCTCTTTCTGTCCCTACTGCCCACGCATGTGGCATGCATGGGTCAGGGGTCTTTTCTTGTTGCCCTGAGCACATGGCTCGTGACAGGAGTTCTGCCATGTGTCACGGGTTAGAATGTGTTGTGTTGGAGTCCCCCAACGCTGCTTTTCTGAACTCGAACTGCTGCTGCGGCCCTTACAGCTGAGCCTGGCCGACATAGGTGAGTCTTTCCCTATCCCCACCTGCCCGTCTGTGAGGCATGCGAAGTGGGGCTGTCTCTGTCACAGCTGCCATCCTGCCGTGGGTCCTGGCTTGCGGCAGGAGTTTCCCTGCTCTGAGGGAACATGGCTGCAAGGCCGCCATCTGCCTAGCTGCCCGGCCTTCTTTGTGCTCCACACACGTGGTATGCAGGGGGACTTCAGGGGTCCTTTTCCCACCCCTGCATTGGCTGAGGGTCTGGGATTACCAGTAGCACCCCCGCCCCCCAGGTCTCTTCCCTGAGCACATGGAGCTCAGGGGTGAACCATCTGTCCTGATCCGGATGTTCTAAAAAAAAAAAACGGCCTTAATGTTGCTAAAAAAAAAACCTTAAGAAGGACTTTGATAAGAGTATATGTTGACCAAGAAATGAGAGAAAATGTAGGATAAGAAAGAAAAAAAAAGAAATTTGTTTAAGAATGTCTATGGGAAGTTATAGAAGTTATAGAGGGTTAAAGCAAGTAGTAGAAGGTCAGAGGAAAGTTGTTGAAGGTCAGAGAAAAGGTTGTTACAAGTCAGAGAAGAATATAAACTGTAAACTGTTATGGTTTCTCATGTCTACAAATAGTAAATTTTAAAATTGGTAATATAAGTTAAAATTCTAACCATATCAACTGAATTCAGTTTTAAAAGTTCTGTTTCTTTCTCAAGTAAATTATGTATACTTGTTTTAAAATGTTCTGTTGCCTGGCATAACCTGAGTTTTGTTACATGGCTGACTGGTGGCCATTTTGCTGAAGTTGAAAAAAGATACTTAAGCCGCCATCTTGACTAAAGGTGACCGCATGGGAATTAGAGGTACCATCTTAGAAACAAGTTTTTCAATTGAGATTTACAATGTTAATGCTTCTATATATTACAGAAAGACCTTAAGGGAATTTAAATTTCTTTTTAAAACCAGTTTTTTAAAAATGTTGGTTTTTAATTAATGTTTGTACTTAAGGAGCTTCAATTTAGAATTATTTTTAAGCAAAGCCTGACAATGTAAAGTTCTTGTTTTATAAAAGATGCTAATCTATTAAAAGATGTTACAGTTTGTGTTTTCAGAAGTTAAGTTTAGGGTGTTGGTGGTGCACGCCTTTAATCCCAGCACTCGGGAGGCAGAGGCAGGTGGATCTTTGTGAGTTCAAGGCCAGGCTGGTCA